TATATAATTTAATAATATATACATACATATATATATACATACCTATATATATAGTATATATAATATATATATACATATATATATATATATATATATATATATATATATATATATATATACATATATATATATATATATATATATATATATATATATATATACATATATATATACATATATATATACATATATATATACATATATATAGTTACATATATATATATATATATATATATATATATATATATATATATATATATATATATATATATATATATATATATATATATATATATTATATATTTATATATAAATATATATATATATATATATATATATATATATATATATATATAAATATATATATATATATATATATATATATATATATATATATATATATATATATATGTATGTATAGTTACATTTATATATATATATATATATATACATATATATATATATATATATATATATATATATATATATATATATATATATATATATATATATATATATATATATATATATATATATATATATATATATATATATATATATATTTATATATATATACATATATATATATATATATATATATATATATATATATATATATATATATATATATATATATATATATATATATATATATATATATATATATATAAGTGATAATTTTTAAATAAATTAAAAAATTTATTTTGTTAACAAACTTAATTTAGTCTGACTTTTTAGGTTTTATTAATTTTGATAATATTTTAAAAATGTGAATCGTATTTAAACTAAGTACTATTTCTAACTAAGAAATAAATATTTAAAAAAGTTGAGCATTTTATTAAAATCGTCAACTTAAAACAAAATAAAACATTGACAAAAATAAGCTGAATAAATCGAATTTACCCTGAGATTTATGTACTTTATATACATTTTGATATAAAATCTGAAAGTTTTAAATTAGTCGCAATAAAATAGGCTATAAAATATAACTTTATTAAAAAAATATTAATACCATATGCATGCATTCTATCAAGTTTTCCTTGCCTTTCCATTACGGCAATTTATTTTTGTAATGGCTAGTTATTGAGACAATAATTTTCAATGTGCCACTTCCTCAACATTGTCAAAACAACGTTTTATTAACGTTGGCAAAGTAACACTTTTTCAACGTTTCTTAATTACCACTTTGAAATAACGTTGAATAAGTGTTGTTTTTCAAATAGTTTAAATTCGTTGAAAAAGCAGCTAATGTCTAACGTTGATAAGCCATTACCTTTGCGACGTTTTTACAGTGATTATTTGCGTACTTATTTTCAACGTTTAATAAACGCATTTTTTTGAGAAGATAAGATACCTTTACATTTATACGCTTATTCAACGTTGAAAATGTAACGTTTAAAAAGCGGTTTGTTTTTAACGTTGATAAAGCATATACTTCGAAACGTTTCTAAAGTGGCTTTTTGCGTAAGTTGATGCCACGTTGAATATACGTTTTATTTTGAGAGGCTAAATTACGTTACAATTTCAACGCTTATTCAACGTTTCAATCTACCGCGATTTAGTATACAAAAACAGACATTGATTCAACGTTGAAAGCACGTTGTTTTTGTGACTGTAACGCTTTTTCTACGCTGCGACTGGTTTTCAACGTTGATTCAACGCTTACAGGTTTGCTGGGCACATATATTGGCAGATACGCATACATCCAATATCAATTATATATATATATATATATTTAATACTTTTGTTCTTCTTTTTCCTTTTTTTTTTTTGTATTTTTTTCATTTTTATTATAATTATTTTTTTATTATTATCATTATTTTCAATGTTTCTATTCTTGTTATTTATTTATTTTTTTAAATTTCTTTTTATTACGAAATTAATAAAAAGTAATTTAATATCATAAATTAAATTAAAAATTAACATACAATATTACAATAGAAGAGTTCCAAAACTTAAAAACTAAAACATGTCAAATAATTCATTAGATTAAGCATGTTTAATAATTGTTTGTTGATAAAATAATTAAAACCCCATAAATTCGAGAAATCATCAGTGGTTAAAAAATTATCAATTTAAGAGGCAATTGATTGAGTAATTCTTGTCGGTTTGCTAATCAAAGAAATCGTACCATTTTCAAAAATGCCATTATAAAATCTTTTAATATTATTATTGACGTGGTATTGAAAACAATCTAAATTCAGATCACCCAATAAGTAGATAAATTTATTTTCGTTGTTACTTTTTTTAATAACGTCATTACATAGAAACAAATTAAAATTTTTAATTTCACCTGAAGGTGAGCGATAACTACAACTTAGAATTTTATTTTTTATTTTTTCGGTTAAAAATTCCATCGTTAAAACCTCTTTAACAGCATCATAGGTGCTCATGTCATCCCGGGTGAAATATCGTAAGTTATTTTTAACATAAATAAGAACGCCTCCGCCACGCTTATTTGTTTTTCGTGCTTATGAAATTACATTAAAACCCGGCAGTTCAAAATCGGTAAAAGAATTTACTTCATCCGAACTGCACCAAGTTTTTGTTAAGCAAATTATATTAAATATATTACAAGTTTCTTCAATAAAATTACTAAAGATTTCAAAAAAATTTTTTAAACTCCAGATATTAATGTGAATTGTGTTAATATTATTTTGATCAAGAAATCCTTTAATTTCATGGGAATAAAAGTAGTCGCATTTATTTTGCAAAGCACCAGAATCAGTAAAATAATTAAGATCAGGATCAGATTCATCGTCTAATAAGAAATTGTTAGTCTGAAAAAAATTATAAAAACTTGGCTCAAAATTTAAGGTTTCGTTAGAATCCATTTTATTTTTGCTTTTACATAATCGAAATGAGATTAAAGTGTTTCTTTTATAAATTTCGTGTGATTAATTTATTATATATAACTTTAGCGTACTTACCCTTTGCCCTTAAATCTTTTGCCTCATTCAGGAGTTTTTTTCGCAATTCCAACGTATAATTACTATAATCTTCATTAATGTAAATCTTTTGAGTCCATAATTTCATCTCCGTGTATTTTCTTAATATCGTGGTTTGTCTTTGTAGTTAAGAAATCGGACTACGATCGATCTGTTCTTTTTATTGTTTTTAGTTAATTTTTTTCCAACTCGATGTGCTCTTTCAATTTCAAAGTTTTCTTGTAGCAGAAGTTTATCATTTAAAAACTCTCTTAATTTATTTTTACTGTCTTCCCAACTTTCCTTTTCAATTTCTTTAATCTTTAATCTCTTTAATCTTTAATCTAACAGAATCTTAAGTTGTTGCGTCGACTTCTGTCTTCGAGTCAATTTGTTAATCATGTTTGTTTTTTTTGTTTTGTTTTTTTATATATATAATTCGTCTTTTATAAACATTTTACAACGTTCTTGTTTTACAATTTTCATCAATAAAATTTAAATAAAAAAATTACTAACGACAGGAGCAAGTAGAAGACAGAAGTCTTGTCATCAAGCCCCTATAGTAAGCGTAAAGTACTTTTAACAAATTTCTCATTATATAAATTTACAAATACTCGTTATATAAAGAAACAAGTTAGTATTTGTATGTTAGTATTTGCAATGTTAGTATTTGCATATTCATTTATCAATGATATTTTTAAAGTTTTATGATCAGCAACTATTTTATCATAATTACTACTCCCAAATTCAACAGCTTTATTAAGTTTGCCAAATTCCTTTCTTAGCTCCTTATTTTCGTCAATTACTGAGTTTAATTTGTTTTCAAGCTTTTCAATTCTATCATTAAACATCTTTATAATAGTAATTTCATGAATTTCCAAAATATCTTTTAATTGTGCAGATGTAAAATTTTTAGTAGCCATTTTGAAATTTTTTTAATAACAGTAAGAAAAAAAAAACACGTTCGTTCGCGGTGAATGCTAATATACTAAGATCTAACTCTGCTAAAACACAAATACGAGCTGCAATACCACTTCATAATTAAGAAAAGAATTAAACTACCTAAAAACAACGAGTTCAAAACATAAAAAAATATTGCGCTTTAAAAAAAAAACGTCCCCTCAAGTTAATATTAGTTTCCAGGTCTGATGCTGTCTGAAAAAGGCTAATACTTCAGAAAATTAAGAAGTTTATTGAAAACGTATTGATATAGCTAAAATATCATAAACAACTATAAATCTGCATCCTGTAAAGTAACTGTCTTTATATGGAATTTGTAATTACAACAACCTAATGCCTAAATGGCTATGTAAGGGCGTTGCAAACGTCTTGATTAATACTTTTTTAAACCACCTTTTTAAGTAAAGTAGGAATATATCACCCAAAAGAGAAACCTTATTAAAAAAGGTGCTTCCAAAGTAAAAATTGTAAATGGAATTATGAATAATTTCTATTATTTCGACTATTATTGTTTGTAAATTCCGTTTTAAATAAGAATTCATGTTTATAAACTCTTAAGTAGTTCATAAAATATTATTTTACATAACTTCAAAAGTTAATCATTTAAAAAAAAAAAAAAATAGAAAATTCAAACACAACTTTTAAACAAAAGATTTATTTGAGAAAGTTTACAAATAGTTTATCAATATATGGAGTGTAACTGTTTTTAAAACATCAGTTTTTCAAACAGACATCACTAGTAAATACTTTTTTAACATCAACACGACAAACAGCAGCACGTTTTGAGGCGGATTTCCGCTAGACGAAAATATTCGCGCGAAGCGAATTTTTTCGTCGATAAGTATGCGCAAATAGAACATTTCTGTCAAAATTAACAGATGTTTATCGACATATTTATGTTTATCGACAAAAAAATTTGCTTCGTGCGAATATTTTTGGCATTTATGGCATTTATCCCAATTATGCTTCAAATAAGGATCAATAGAATCACCATAACTGTATTCACACATTGCACAAGGTTATTTATCAATCACAAGTTTAGCATCAGGATTGATGCATAGATATAGTTTCTTGAATGCGCTTTTTATGTGGTTGTTTGTTCTTAAATTTCAAAGTTCTTAAAGTTCTTTTTATGTGGTTGTTTGTTCTTAAATTTCAAAGTTCTTAAAGTTTTTTTTATGTGGTTGTTTCTTCTTAAATTTCAAAATTCTTAAAGTTCTTTTTATGTGGTTGTTTGTTCTTAAATTTCAAAGTTTTTAAAGTTCTTTTTATGTGGTTGTTTGTTCTTAAATTTCAAAGTTCTAAAAGTTCTTTTTATGTGGTTGTTTGTTCTTAAATTCCAAAGTTCTTAAAGTTCTTTTTAGGTGGTTGTTTGTTCTTAAATTTCAAAGTTTTTAAAGTTCTTTTTATGTGGTTGTTTGTTCTTAAATTTCAAAGTTAAAGATTACTCTAACTGAGATTTAAATGGCGATTTCGTAATTTCTTCAGCATTTAACCTTTTTTTACCGTTTTTAATACCAAGTTCACCTAGTGATCCAAATGTAATACCATGAGTTTGTGAGGTTTCAACAGAGGCGGCTAATTCTAATGATTTCTGAAGTATAAATGCTGAATTTGGTGAAACAGACTCTAAATAAATATTTTTTAACTAAAAAGGGTGAGTATAAATAGGCATTATGTAAATAAAAAAAAAAAGTTGAAATGTTTAAAAAATATATAGTCAGCCAGGGTTATAAAAATGTCGAATATATCTAATATTCCATACCTGAAGTTGACTAATAATTTTGAACAGCTTTCCCATAAGCTATTATAAATAATTCAGTAACCCCTTGTCAGGACCAGTTCAAATATTTTTTTGGTATATTCAAAAATATTAAATATAATATGCAAACATTCTATAACTGCAGTGTCTAAAACGACAAAAACTACAAAACAACTACAAAAACTAGCAGACAGTGCAGAGCCTAAAACTAAAAAAAAGAAATTTACTTTGTAAGACTGTTTTGCCGACTTTACAGGTTCATCAGTTACCTTTATAGGAAAATTGCTTTTTAATCTTGCTCGGCTTGCCCACAACTTCTTAAGAAAACTTTGAATCAATGATCAGTTTTTGTCCAGCTCCATTGCATCTGTAATAACACTTTATAGCCTATTTTTCTATCTCATGTTCTCTGAAAAAGTTTAGACACTTTCAGTTTTGAAGCGGTCAGCAGATTAAGAGTTTTTATCTAAAGTGTTTTGCTTACTAAATTAAATTTGAACAAGAAATCATACCAAATAACAAAACAGCAGA